TGTACACGTTCGGTGTCAGGACCTGGATAACCTGCTGGTGGCACTGTGGTTCCCTGAGTGAAGGGTTGTAGTTCCAGTGTCCACCAGCATGTGACTCCCAGCAGCGAGCAGTTTTCAGTAACCAGTCTCCACCCGAAGCTGGCTGCTGTGCAGGTATTTAGGTCCTCCTGTACTAGTGCCTTTTATGTCAGTGTTTTGTTTGCTTTTCTAGTTAGATGTCGTGCTCCAAACTTATTCCTCTTTATTAACATACAGTATAAAAATCCAAACACAGTGAACCACACAGTCTCTGCATTGGTATGGAAGTAAGTAAGATTGGGTGTCCTCTCTACACAGGAGTGTGATGCACTGATCATTGAAGCCCCTATTATTCACATTTTTTGTCACCTTCCTAAGACCTACAAGGGGTTATATTCCCTTGTGGGTAGACCGATTTTGTTGCAGGATTGGGTCTTTTTAGTTGCAACCACTGGTTTAAGAACTTGTCAAGCTACCTCAGAGATACACAACATCTGTTGAATTTGTGCCAGGAGCTTAAGTGGGTAGAGGGGGTGTGTGGATGACATGCGATGGTGTCCAGCTTATGCTCCTCCATCTCTCACTCTTTTGGTTTGCAGGTGGTATCATACTAGAGAGTTTTGGAGTATCTCCTCACACACAACATTTTGCTTTTGATGGGGTAATTTTATTCAGAGATGTGAAGCAGCATTAGGCGCCAGGCCCTCTCTCGCCAACTTATTTATGGGTTGGTGGGAGATGGTGTACATTTTTGGACATCATAATCCTTTTTGTCCTATACATTTTTACCAGGGCTTCATTGATGATCTCATCTTCATCTGTACTGGTAATTTGGGATCTGTGCACAATTTTTTGATGTACGTGAAAAACAATAGTCTCAACCTCAGATTCACAAGGCAGATGTATATGAGCTCAATGAATTTTCTGGATGTCACACTGACCCATAGTGATGGACAAATAGTGACTAGTTTATATAGGAAACCGCTATTAGGCAATAGTTTGCTGATTCAGGACACACCCCGGGCACACAGTGAGGGGGATCCCAGTTTCTAAGGCTGCATACGATGTGTAGTAGAGATGATGATTTCGAAAGAGAGTTGGTTTCTATGAGGCACAGGCTTCTATGAACAGGGATATCCTAGCCAAGTGATAAAAGAGCAGTGAGTATTCCGAGAAATACAGAAAAGTCCACCAGTGTTTATGACAGCGTATAGTATGGAATATAAGAAAATTAAACAAATCATAGAACGTTTGTGTTCCAATATTGTTCATGATAAAGTATACGCTCAGATTCTTTTGGAAGGTGTTAGAGTTGTCTCTCAACGAGCTTCCTTGCTGGGGAATATTCTATGTCCTAGTTGTTACTTGTCTAATAAAAGGCAGAGTGACACTTGGCTGCACTTCCCGTGTAACTAACCCTGTGGTGCAGGGGGATGTCCCTGTTTGAAAAGTGGAGACAGGTTTGTGTCCATGAGTAGTGGCAAAGTGTATAGATTGAAGGAGTTTATTAATTGTAACACGAGATATATTATTTATCTTATTACGTGTAACATTTACCACATACAATATGTGGGCCAGGATAAGAGGAAGACTGTGTGACCGCCTCCATGACCATGTACCGTATATACTCGAGTATAAGCCGAGTTTTTCAGCACATTTTTTGTGCTGAAAAATGGCCCCCTCGGCTTATACTCGAGTCAACGTCTGCAGATGTCTAGCAGGGGGCGCTGCTTCTAAAGCCAGTGCTTCTCAAATAGTGGGGCGCGAGGCTCCATCAAGGGGGGCGCGTACAGGGGTGGGCAGAGGGCTGCTGTCTCTTACCTGGCTCCCACGATGATCCATCCAGGAAGCGCTGCTCTTTCCGTCACTCCGGCCCCCACTCCCTCACTCCTGCCGCTCGGCTCCGCCTCCTCACCGGTGATTGGCCACCAGAACTGTAGCTCAGGAAGGGAAAGGTACACAGGTGGCCAATCACGGGCGGGGAGGCGGAGCCGAGCGGAACCCGCGAAAATCGAGTGAGGGAAAAGCCGGTAAGTGTGCAGTGCAGAGGTGCTGCTGCAACCACATATGCTGGCTGCAGCAGCACCATACTGCAACAGGGGTCAGCAAGTGTCATTGGTGTCAGTGGGAGGAATAGTGCCGCATCATTGGTGTCACTGATACTAATGATGGGGCATTATTCCTCCCACTGACACCAACGATGGGGCACTATTCCTCCCACTGACACCAATGATGGGGCACTATTCCTCCCACTGATACTAATGATGGGGCATTATTCCTCCCACTGACACCAACGATGGGGCACTATTCCTCCCAGTGATACCAATGATGGGGCACTATTCCTCCCACTGACACCAACGATGGGGCACTATTCCTTCCACTGATACCAATGATGGGGCACTATTCCTTCCACTGATACCAATGATGGGGCACTACCAATGATCCTCCCACTGATACACCAATGACACAAATGATGGGGCACTATTCCTCCCACTGATACTAATGATGGGGCTTATACTCGAGTCAATAGTTTTTTCCCAGTTTTTTTTTGTGGTAAAATTAGGTACCTCGGCTTATATTCGGGTCGGCTTATACTCGAGTATATACGGTATACGATATACAGAAAAAATACTCCAAAAATGTGGCGAATCATTGTAATAGGGTGCATGGAGGGGATCACGCAGTCTTACGCATACAGGGGATTTAAAAGATCAAGAGCCCTCCAGAAGGGTGGATGTGTTTAGATTACTTTATAAGCATGAGGTCTTTTGATTCTTTCACTTACTGTTGTATGTGCTGGTGATTGAATACCTGGCAGTTGCTATCTGAAAAAATCTATTTCTGGTATAACCTTGGGAGCACAGCAAGTGAAACTAGCTCTTTTCGCAGACGATCATTTGTTTTATATTAACAATCCTCATATTTCAGTGCTGTCTGTGTTGTGGGAGTTTCATCGTTTTGGACTATAGAGTACAGAGGGGGGCATTTGATGGTGGAGACAGGCAGTACAGAGGGGGACAGTTAATGATGGGCACAGACAATACAAAAGGGGAAAATTGCTATAACATTCTTAACAGACAACTTTTCTTTTTAAGATCTGTACCTCAGCTATCAAATATTTGGGAATTTACTGTATATCCTCACTGATCTTACTCAACTGTATACATTTAATTACACTCCCTTTTTACAGCAGACCCTCGCTGACCTTAGGTCACATGATCATACTCTTTATTCTTGGTTTGGAAAAGTTACCATTTTAAAAAATATAGTTCCACGTTTCTTATATGTTTTCTAGACAATCCCTATTTTAATGCTACATTTATTCTTCAAATCCCAGCAGAGGGAATTTACTCATTTTATCCGGGGGAGTCAGAAACCGTGACTCCGCAAAACAATTTTATCCCTTCCAAAACATAAGGGTAGAGCTAGAGTCCCAGACATTTCTTTGTATCATGCTGCTGAAGCTTTGACTAGAGTGGTCAACTGGTTTCACAGCGGCTCACGGTCACAGTGTGTACTTCTGACCCTATGGCAGCGGTTTATGTAATGAAAAAGACAATTAAGATGTCTATATAAGTGTTTAATAGTGGGATTTAATTTTTCTTTTACAAAGAATTTTATAATAGAATAGGAAACAGCAGAAAATCAGTCAAGAACATATGCAATGACCAGCAGAAATATAACATACAAAAGATTTGATGGATAATACAGAATATGTACTGATGAGAAAACATGAAAATAAACTGCGTACATAAGTGCCGTACAGAAAAAAAAAAAGACAATAAATTGCAAAAATGATAGACATTTAGAGACTAATAACATAATAAACTCTCAGGAAAAATTGTTGCAGAATCAACATACAGAATGCGAGATGAATAGGAGAAAGAGCCTCTCTGAGTACAGAGAGGTACTTAACACGCAGGGCTCTCAAAGGAGTCCAGAACATGGGTGCAGTATTGCTGGTACGGGACTCAAAACAGGGATCACAATCAGTACAAATAACCTGAAGAAGACAGACTAGACAAGAGGAAAGGAAGGAGCGAAGTGAAAGGAGACAAGCAAACATACCAACAACAAAAAAAAAACAAAAAAAAGGGGGGGGGGCTCCAGGGGGACCGCGACAGAGAAAAATAAAAATATAAAAATAAGTTGGTATATAAAGTTTATATCGACAAGAGGGACTGGTCGAATCTTGACGGTTGAGCTATATCAAGCCAAGGACGCCATGTCTGTAAAAATTTTGTATGGGTGTCTAACAGTATAGCTGTCAACTTTTCGTTGACCATTATAAAGTTCATCCGGTTTTTGACAGCCTCGAAGCTGAGGAGGGAAGTCTTCCAAGCTCTCACAATCGTCAGCTTTGTGGCCATGAACAAGTGCGATGCCAGCTGCCGTTCAGGATGAAGTAGGCCCACTAATGGTTTAAATAACAGCGCTTCATACGGGTTGCGTTTAATGTCTGTGTGGAACATAGTGCGGAGAAGGGCATAAACTCTGATCCACAATCTGCACACCTTGGGGCAATCCACCAAATATGAACCATGGTACCCGTCTGCTGACAACCTCGAAAGCAAGTCGGGGAATATGTGGGAATAAAACGAGCCAGACGAGCAGGCGTGTAATACCATCTGTAAAGAACCTTGTATGCGTTTTCTGGATTTAATTTTTCTAATACATAATTATTTCAGTACATGGTAATTTGTCAATATACAACCAGTTGAGGTTTACTGTATATTTTTTAGAGGGGTGATAATAAAAATTTGATCCACAAGATGGCGTTAGTAAGATGTAATATACAATACATCAGGCCAGGAGCGGACTGACCATTTGGAAACTCGGGCACTGCCCATGGGCCCGGGGTCAGTAGGGGGCCCATGAGATGCCCCTGGTACCTTTTTCATAGGCTTTTTTTGAGTTTGGGCAAGGACACAGGGGCCCCATGATCCCCTATTGCACTGGGGCCCCATGAGTTGTCAGTCCGCCCCTGCACCAGGCCTTGAAATTTCCACTCGCCTGCTCACATTGGCGAGTGGAAATTATGGTGGGGGTGAGTGTGTCCCCCGGGCCGTCTTGCTGAGCAGGCTCGGAACTCAGGGCCGGATCTGTCACTCTCACTGGGAGCCGTCAGACTGCTCAATAGTTGAGCAAAGTGAAAGCAAAGGAAGGAGTGTGTGCTGTGCTCTCTGCCTCCCCCTAGAGTGCAGTACCCGGCTCTGTGAGTGAAGGTAACTGCAACTTTTTATAGGGCTGTGTGTGTATTTGTGTGTTTGTATGTGTGTGTGTGCGCGCATGTATCTGTGTGTGTGTCTGTGTATGCATGTACATGTGTCTGTGTATATGTACATGTGTGTATCTGTACATGTGTCTGCGTGTATGTACGTGCATGTGTTGTGTGTGTACATGTATTGTGTGCATGTACAAGTGTGTGTGTGTGTACGTACATGTGTCTGTGTGTACATATGTCTATGTATGTACGTGTCTGTTCGTGCGTATGTACATGTATGTTGTGTGTTTGTTTTTGTGTGTTTTGTGTTTTTTTGTTTGTTTTTTTGGGTGTATATTTTACGAGGGCGTGTTTAGGGCGGAATTAGGGGTGGGGCAGGGTAGGGGTTGGGTGGGGCAACTGGTGGCGAGTAACTCTTAAGGCCTGGCTAGTAGCTCAGGACCTGAAATTTTAAGCCCTACAATACACCATTCAGATCAATTGAAGTTTATATTTCTTAGAGGGGTGGTAATAATAATTTGATTCAGAAGATAGTGCCGGTAATATGTATTATACAAGACTCCACAAAGAGGATGGTGTATGATTTTAGTTTCTAATTTTAACAGAGTTAACAAAAGGGTATAAGTCATAATAAATTGCCTCTTGCTTTTTTTTTCTTAATTGAGTTTGATTTGGGTGGTGGAGGTGGTCCCGCTGCCATAGGGTATATATATCAGAAGTGTGCACTGTGACTTCCTGCTTCTGAAGACGTTACATATTGACAATGAAATGCGTAAAGCGGAACTTCCGATGCAACACTTATGGTCTAGGGTGGAATGCATGCTGAGGAGTAAAGTATTTTTGTCTCTCATTGGGGTGGTCGACTCATTTATTCGCTTATGAGATGTGCTTCTCCTGAGAGAGCCCACACACTCCCCTCTCCTGAGGAGCACCCAATCGATGCTCATCACACTGTAAGGTCTCTCCCCCTTGCTCGTCTCTGGGTGCGGTGCTGGAGACAGGCAGGGAGGTAAGTAAGATATGAACATCACAATGTTAAAACTTTATTCAAATATGGTTTAGGTTAAAAAAAATGTTCTGGACAAGTAGATTGTCATGAGGGACAACTAGACTGGGACCTTGATTTAGTCCCTTGGACAAGTAGTTTTTTAAAAAATGTCCACACCTGTGGTACTCTCTCAGTGATATATAAAATCCTTGTGTGTTGCACACATCTTGATTACACTGACCGCTGGGCAACAGAAGTTTATGTTTCATTCTCATCGAAAGTTTGGAATAAATCTTTCATACTTATTCACAATTTATCTTTAGCCAGTAGGGCCCATGAGACTAGCTTAAAATGACTGGTACAAGGAGCCCTACCTTTCTTCATTGTCTCTATCTGTGACTGATCTCTGCTGGCGTTGTCAGCCAAGTCACATTTTGTGGGCCTGCCCTCCTGTTCCCAGGTTCTAGACCTCGATCTTGGAGGTGTACATGAAAATCAATGAAGTGACTAAACCAAACTCTCCCCAGGTAACAGTGCTTTCTGTTCTTCCTGGTACTCTCAAACATATTAATAAAGACACATTATTGCATTTTTTTTAACAACAGTCCAGGCAGTTATCCTGTGCCATTGGAAATCAACACAGGCTCCAACTCTTTTGGAATGGGTTTCTGAAATGGACCATATTGAGTGTGTGGAGGCTCTTAATGCAAGTGAACTGGGCACCTATGATTGTTATCATCAAATCTGGCTCTCCTGAAGATCTTCAGACTTTCACAAGAATTGAAAGATCTCCTCATAGCAAGCTGAAGTGGAATCAATTGCCCTCTTTATCAGTGTTCAGAGTTTTTTTTGGCTGGCTTCGCTTTGTTGGTTTTTTTTGTCAGTTTCCCTTCCTCTCTAGCCCTTTTTTGTTTTTTACCCCCATCTTCTCCTTAATGTTTTTTTTCCTTTATCTTTACTTCCTTTTTTTCACTCTTTTCTTTGTCTTTCAGTCTTAACTATCTTGCATTGATTGGCTTTGTAATTTATTCATATGTGCATCTATGTGGGGTCAGCTCTGCAATTATTATTTTCTATTTTACATGCAAAATCATTTTTATGTGCAGAGTAAGTGATATGAATTTCCATCACTTGTTATACTAGTGTTGTTATAGGATGGATTTGTTATCTATCTGCTCAGTATTTTGTTTCCATCCTTTATCTTGTTTACATAAAAATCTTTTTCAAAAATTCAGATTGAAAACAAAATAAAGGTACACATGCCTGTGCAAAGGGCATCAAACGACATAAATTTCATTATCCATAGGTGACACTTTAAAAGCCTTTACAGGTTGCCACTTTAGAATTACACAGTCTGATGCTAAAAATACTGCCCTCATCTGACATTCACAATGATATCTCACATACGTGGGACGATCAGTTTGCATGCATGTGGGACCGATGAGTATGGTTCGCCTTTGCGTGTGAACATGG